TCCCCTGAGGCTACCTTTTAGCAAAATAACAGCGGCACACAAAATAAAGGATATTACTCATGACTATGGTGCTCTATTAAAAAAGAAACAAACAAACAAAATCTATATGAGACCAATAGGTCAACAATTACTCTAAAACAAAGTTGAGAAGATAAGGGGACAGGGAAACTAGAGTAATGTAAATGGAACAACCAGAATGGAATTAAAGAGAATGTTGACACATCGTGAAAAATGTAACAATATCACTGAACAATTTGTATAGAAATTGTCAAATGGGAACCTAATTTACTGTATAAACTTTCACTGAAAACACAATAAAATATTATTTTAAAAATAAGTTGAGAGAAAATATCTATAAATATAATACAAAGAAAAAGAAAAGAAATGTGACCCTCAGATCCTTCACCACTAAGTTACATTCTAGATTAAGCAACACCAAGGATTTATATCATACCTAGGCAGTGAGAAGAAGATGTTAATTAAATGAGTGGGGAACTTATTTTAGGAACTTCTGCTGCTTAACAAATTACCTGGAAACTTAGTGGTGTGAAACAACAACTATTTTATTTTGTTCACAATTTTGTGGGTCAGGAATTTGGGAAGTGCTCATCTGAGCAGGTCTTGCCTCGGGTCTCTCATGAAGTCAGATGTTGGCTGGGGCTGAGGTCATCCGAAGGCTCATCTGGGCTGGACATCCAAGATGGCTCAATCCCATGGCTGGTAGCTGATCCTGGCTGTTGGTGGGATGCTCATCTGAGCTGCCAACCAGAGCACCTACACATACCCTCTAAAGCAGTGGTTCTCAACTGGGGTGATGTTGTTGTCACAACTTGAGGGTGATGTTGTTGTCACAACTTGAGGGTGTTTTTGGCATGTAATGGGTAGAGACCAGGGATACTGCTAAACGTCCTACAATGTACAGAACAGGCTCCAACAACAAAGAATGTTCCAGCCCGAAATGTCAGTGGAGCCAAATATGTGAAGTCCTGCTCTAAGGCATGGTGGTCTCAGGATAGTTGGACTTCTTACATGGGAACTGGCTTCCTCCTTTAAGCTCCCAAAAGAACCAGGTGGAAGCCACAACTCCTTTTATGACCCAACCACAGAAGTCATATAGCATCACTTCCATGTACTCTATTGGTTGAAAAAGTCTCAAACTTGCCTAGACCCCAGCTCTTGATGGGAAGAGTGTCAAAGAATCTGTGGCCATATTTTAAGCCACTGTGGCAGGCAATGAGGATCAGCATGGTGGAAAGACGCAGGAAGACATGTCTACTGGGGGTTGTCCTTCTGTCACCAGCCTGTCCACCTGGGCACTGGCCATACTGATACTGAGTCACTGGCCCAGCTCGCAGAAGCAGCTGCTGTAACTGGTGCAGAAACCCTGTCAAGAACCCCCTCCTCCCCAAGCCCATCATCAAAGAACTACTGGGGTTTCTCTGGGCTAGTATGGAAGCTATGATCAGGGTGTCCGCATTTGACTATCGTTCCACTTCCTTCCTCCTTCTCTCAAACCTAACCCTGTCCATCCTTTCCAGCAGTTCACTAGCTGGGCTCTCATGCCTGTAGCCTAACCTTTCTCAGAGCACCTAAGCACTTCATTGCAAGCCCTTTTATTATTAGCTTGGGCAGGGAAATGTGCCATTAGTGTTTTAATCTCCATAAGGCATTTCTCCCTAATTGCTAGTCATGGATGATAATTAGCAACTGTTAATTCCTGATAATTAACAAGCTAATACTTAGAGGTAATGACACCTGGGTAATCATCTTAAAATGCTCAGGGCTCCCCTTCTGGGTCCCAATCTTTAAAGGATGACACTGCATTTCAGCATTTCTAGCCCAGGTGTCAGCTGGAGCCCCCTGCATTTGTGTTCAAGAGGGCAGGGATTGGAGATTTGACTGCTCTCTTTAGTTTAGCTTTCTTCTCTGGTTATAGAAGTAGTATGCATTCCTTTGGAAGCTTTGTCAAGTACAGAAAAATATAAAGAAAATAAAATATACCTAACTCTATTAGCTGGGAGCATCCAGTCAACATTTTGGTTTATTTCTTCCCAGTCTATGAATTTTTTACACAGTTGAGTTTGTGTTAAATATATGGTTTTGCATTCAGCTTTATTCATTTAGCATTAAAGCGTAAACACCTTCCCTTGTGGGAGCAGCTTATAGAAAATTTCTGCCTCCCCTGCCAGAAAAGTCAAGTGAAACATACTAGAAGAAGAATGGGATTCATGGGAAGGAGAAGCCATCATGCAAGAACAGACTTGAAGGGGCTGATTTGTGGGGACTAGGAATTTATTCCAGATATTGTCTTCAAGGACGCTCCTGCCCCTCCCCAAAACAACTGAAGGCATTGGGTGGGGAGACGATATGCACACACACACACACACACACACACACACACACACACACACACACACACACACACACACACAGTTACATAGAAAAAAGACTGGAAGGAAATGAACTAAAATGTTAATAATAGTGTTGGTTTCAGAAGGGAGAATTACAGGTAATTGTTACTTTCTGCTTTATCATGCTCTGTGTGCAGTACAGAGAAATAAAAGCATTAGACCAGCATTCAAAAGATTACTAGTTCACGCCTTGCTCCTCTGTGTGATGGCTGGGTGATTTCAGGTCCTTACCCACTCTGGACTTGATTTTATCAAGTGTGGTGTGATTTGAGGGAAATGTTAACCCTGCCACCCTAAAAGGTGGTTTCAGAATCAGAAATGCTGAGTCATGGTGCACATCCATGACACTGACCTCAGAAGATAGCCCGGATGACTCCCAAGAGCAAGCCTAAGAGTATCAAGTAATTGCCCTTATGGAACACTCGACCATTTACAAAGAAAATTCCCCCAATATTGCATCTCAGACATTTCTAGAGGTCTCGTACAGTAATGACAGACTTTGGATGTGCCATTCATTACCCCAACACTTCTGGAACTTGCCTATTTCTTCAGGAGGGAGATGGTGTAGCTTGGGTTCTTAGAGCATGGCCTTTGGAGTTAGACCTGAGTTTAAATCCATAGTCTGCCACCCACCTGTGACTCCCTGCAGTCTACTTAACACCTCTAAACCTCAGTTTTCCTAATCTATAAAATGGGGCTAATACTACCTGCTCATGGGGTTGTTGTGAGGTTCTGAAGAAATATTGTACACAAAGCTTTACACGTGCCTGGCTGATAATCAACACTCAGTCAATATTATTTTATATTATTATATTACATTATAGTATATGATATTACCATCTTTGAAGAAGTACAACCAGAATGCTTCTTAGAAGCAAAGATGGCAAGACCATGTCTTACATACTTTGGACATGTTGTCAAGAGGGATCGGTCCCTGGAAAAGGACATCATGTTCGGTAAAGTAGAGGGTCAGTGAAAAAGAGGAAGACCCTCGATGCGATGAATTGACACAGTGGCTGCAACAATGGGCCCAATCATAACAATGATTGTGGGCATGACGCAGGACCAGGCAGTGTTTCGTTCTGTTGGACATAGGGTCGCTATGAGTCAGAACCGACTCGATGGCACCTAACAACAACAACAACTGTATTGTTGTACTATATTTTTCATATTATAGTTGATATTATTATTTATTTGTAAACAAATATGATTATGTAATAGAAGAATAAATACAATTATATAACAAATGATATTGTTATATTCCACCCTGTGTGGAGTGCCATAAATTTATTACATACTCTGAAAAGGAATGAGACTTTTCAGTCCCCAAAGCCCCCTCCAGACTTCAAGGTCCGGTATTATGGGTTTGGCAGACAAGGTCACCTTCAGCCTATTCTTTTATTTCCTTTCTTTTGTAGATTCAGATCCAATCTCCTCTCCACTCTCATCTTTCCAAATCTCTAAGACCCTAATCTTTTCGTCTTTCTGCCAAGCTTAACATTAAAGTTGGCAGTTCAGCCATGGCCAGGCAAGGAGCTGCTGTATTTCAGAAGCCCTGGTCTCTGTCTGCCCTGCAAGAGCCAGGAGCTAAGTCCATTGTCACCTAATAATAGCCCTTTGTAGCAGGATCATGCTTTTTATTTTTCCAAGCAGTTTCATATCTGCTATTGCGTTTAATCACCCCAACAATCTTGTGGAGCAGGCAGGGCAGACCTTGTCATTTCCCATGGAGGGCAGCGTGGTTCCCAAAGTGGGTTTCATGGAAAGTGACACCATCATACAGTCAAATAAGTTTGGAAAAGACAGGATTCAGCAAAACTAACCAGGTTTCTCAGTGTGCAATGTGATTCTTCAAGAGCTAGATGAGTGTTTCTCAAGCTTTTTTTTTTTTAACCAGATAGTACTTCTTTTCTAGAATATTCCATGGAACTATTGCTCCATGGAACCCACTTTGGAAAACAGTCATGGAGTGGCAAGAGAAAGGGCTCTGGAGTGAGGTCGAGTGAGGTTCAAATCCAGTCATCACCCCTTGCTAGCTGAGTGACCTCGGGCAAGTTTCTTTACCTCTCTGATCCTCAGTTTCCTCACCTGTAAAATGGGGATGGTAATAGAATTGTAAGGATTAAAAGAGAGAGTAAAGTGCTTAGCACAATGCCTAACAGTGATAGACAGTCAATGTACTTTAGCTTTTATTATTATTCTCTTCCTCTATATTATCCAGGAGAAAAAAATGGCCCTCAGAGAGGATAATTTTCCAACATTACACAGCTATTCAGTGACAGGGCTGAGTATAAAACCCAGGATTCCTGCCTCCCAGTTCAAGGCCGTTTGCGGTAAATGGGGCTGTTGTTCTCGTTCGAGTGTCCTACCCACTTGTTCTCCTCTCCTTCCCTTACTCCTGCTCACTACCCTTGGGATTCTAATTCCATTCCTTCCAGCAGATGTTGGGGTTTTGAAGCCTCAAATGTAAGTGAAAGTACTTCGCAAACCACTGTAAAAATCTTCGTTTTATCTTCACTAATTCCTTACCCCTTCCTTCTGTTACAGCCCCAAGGGCCCTCACCTTGGTCTTCTCAGAGCCCGGCCATACCACCTGCACACCCTCCCTCCCTGCTCCCCAGATCCTGCTCCCAGCTGCTGGGACAGGACAGCGGCTGTAGGCAGTCCCCTGACAGTCCAGGAGGATGAGTGGTTGCGGGAGGAAGGCCCTGACCCTGCTGAGCAGCGTCTTTGCTGTGTGCGGCCTGGGTCTCCTGGGCATCGCAGTCAGCACCGACTACTGGCTGTACCTGGAGGAGGGTGTGATCCTGCCGCTTAACCAGAGCACGGAGATCAAGATGTCCCTGCACTCTGGCCTCTGGCGAGTCTGCTTCCTTGCAGGTAAGGGTGCCCGGCTGAGGGGTGGGGGACAGCCCTGCCTGAGAGAGAGAGGAGCAGCCACCTCCTTTGCCCCCCGCAAAAAACCTGCCCTATGAGCCCCTCTTGGGAAGAATTTCCCCGTCTGGAAGGAGACAACTCACCACAGACAGTCCCCACAAGCCCTGGGCAACACTCTCTCCAGCAGTCAGGATGCTGGGTCAAACGCAAGCTCAGACTAGCGATATCGCCCTGGATCTCAGTTTTCTGACCTGAAACATGAATGTAACTGTGCCTTCCCCGCACTCCACCTCTCAGGGCTGAGCAGAGACTGACATCGCACAGGTCTGAAAACGCCCTTGCACACATTAGCTTATTGAATTATTGATCCCATTTAATCCTCCAACAACACTGCGAGGCAGGACTTATTTACACTTTACCCATAAGGAAGTGAAGATTCCGGAGGTCACATAAGTCCCCTAACTCAAACTCACTTGCATCCACTAGTTTCCAGAATGGAAAATGCTTCGCGATATCTTTGTTACTATATCCATGAAGTGGCAGAGATGAAACTCAAATGCAGGTCCTTCCAGTTCTGCAAGATGCTGCAGGTTTTGATCCCGATCCTGTGTGGACCTCCCGCCAGCTCACTAGGGCTTCTCTGGACCCTTCATGGGTGCTACGCAAAGAGTTCTGTCCTTTATCCTGTCCTGGTCTGGAACCAGCCTGCACGTTAAAATCATCCCTGCGCTGTGCAAGACTGGCCACAGCCTAGGCTGGCTGGAACCACAGTGTGGTCACTGAGCCTGTCTTGGGAGGGCTCTGTAACCTGTGTGTGCTTTGGGAAGAGGGGCAACTTGGTTTCCCCAGCTTTTTTCCTCCCAGCTTTATGGCAAGGCTTTGGGGGATAGAAGGTGGGGTTGGCCCACAGCTCAGTCCACTGAGCCAGCCAGTATGTAGCAGGAAGGTAACCTCCAGGCCTGGCCTCCCAGTCACTTGTTGAGTCTGCTTTGGGAATGGCGTCCAACAATGACCTCCCTTCCCACTGCCCCAGACTCTGTGGCATGTTCTCTGCTTAAATCTGAAGCCGAGTTTAAAGTCACCCAGGATCTGGTTTCCAGGATGGTTGACAAGACTTTTGGGATTCTGCGGCATGACATCTGAGCCAGGCATGCAATGTCATTGGCCCAGTCTGCCCCCAAAGCAATGGGGTGGCCACCGGAGACTTTAATCGCTATTGGAAGTTTGCAGTGCTGCCGTCTTTGCGTGTGACTCTTGGGTCCATCTTAACAAAGGTGCTTCTCCAGGGAAGATGTGAGGTAGGACGTGCTCCTACCCCTGCCATGGGCCACCAGCCACCTAGGGTTTGTATTCTCCTAGGGTTTGGATCCAGCCTGGGTGCACATATACAGTGGGAGCAAATATCCTAGCAGCATTTGAAAATACCGTTTGAATGTATTAACTTCAAATCCGTGTTCAGGAAGGATTTGGAAGTGTCGATGCATTCTCACCTCTGCAGGTGAGGAGCGGGGCCGCTGCTTCACCATAGAATATGTGATACCCATGAACACCCAGCTGACATCCGAGTCTACCGTCAACGTTCTAAGTAGGTGCCTTGGACTTTCCAACTGGGCATTGGCTGGACAAAAAGTAGCAGGGCAGATGGAAAAACAGGGTTTTTGGCTTATTTCTCAAGAGCTAAGGCCGTAGACACAGCTGGTTGTGTTGGCCTGAGCTTACCAGGGCTCTGCCCATATCCCCAGGTTATTTTTCTAGTGTTGAAGATGGGTCGCTGGAGACTCCAAGTCTTGTGACCCAGGCAAGTGAGAGGGCATCCAGCTTCATGGCCTTGGCCTCCTGAGAGTGAGTTCCGACCCCAGAGTGAACTGCTCCACGCATAATTAATTATAAGTTGAAGACAAAGGCTAGAGTGACCATCCTCTGTATACTAAGAACAGCTGCTCGCTCATGGAAATAGTGAATTTCCCTGGAAGAGGAAGCAAGATGGAGTGGCCAGGGCCCTTCTAGGTCCACGGCTGCCATATTGGCAGGCAGGTTTAGACTCCCAAGGAGGGAAGCCGTTAGTGACCTTACTCTGTTGGTATTTGAAGTTAGACCTCCCATCCCAGCCTCAGGGAGGAAAGCCCTACTAGCTCTGGGAGGTCCCCAAGGGGGTTGGAGCCCAGGGAAGTCCCGCAGGACCAGGGGCTTTGGGAGCCTTGGTAGACCACTGCCAGTGGTGTTGCATGTCACCAGGAACCCTCAACTTGGGAGGGCGAGCAGCAAGTGAGTCCCCTAGAGGCTGACATGCATCCTTTCATCCCCTTAATTAGAAATGATTCGCTCTGCCACGCCATTCCCTCTGGTCAGCCTTTTCTTCATGTTCATTGGGTTTATCTTGAACAACATCGGACACATCCGTCCCCACAGGACAATACTGGCCTTTGTCTCTGGCATCTTCTTTATCCTCTCGGGTAAGTTGTGTTGTTTTCTTTAAATGCGCTCTGGACTTTTGATATTTCACTCCTAAACAGCTCTGCTTTGGGAAGCCCTAGTAATGGCCTTTGGTCAGCTCCTGGCACTGGAAATAGGACAAGCTGAGTCAGTGGCCTTGGCAAAACTGAGTCAGAGCTAGAGGAGACTTCCAATGCCCCCAGCCCATCCACTTACCTTATGGAAAAGTGATGGCAGCTCCAGGCTAGCAGTGATTGACAAGCTTACCCAGATGGTGGAGCAGAGCTGGGATTGGAACCCAGGGCTCTTTCCTCTGTCAACACCACCACTACCACCACTTACTTTTCAGTTCTCACCAATAATGAGTATTCTTATTTTTGAAGGGGCTATGTCTTAGGGGCTATGTGCTTTTGCATGAAAAATAAATGCAATATGCCTGTGGAATAATGGCCCCTTCACCTCCCAGCCCTCAGCTACCTCAGGGAGGCTACGTAAGTCTCCTAACTCAAATTCACTTGTATCCACCAGTTTACTGAATGGAAGATACTTAGCAGTTTCTCTGTGCCTATATCCAGGACATGGCAAAGACGAAACTTGAATGCAGGTCCTTGCAATTCTGCAAGATGGTGCAAGTTTTGATCCCAAATCAAAAGACTCCTACTGTCCCTTCCGTTTTCCAGTCACACTCCATGCCCTGGGCCCCCTGAGGCCTATTCAACATGGACCTGTGTTCCTGGACTGACACTAGGTTGTACTTCATCATTCATTCATGATAGGTACCAGACCTTATTCTGGGTGCTGGGATCACTACCTGCAAAAGGTCCATGTAATGGGAGATATAAACAAGGAGACAGGAAAGTGGCATGAAAAGTGTTATAATAACAGTGAGCACCAAGGGAGCCACGAGCAATGACTGAAACTCAGACAAGGGGTTGATTAGGGAAGGCTCCCAGGAGAAGTGAGAGCAAGGATGAGTAGGAATTAGACTAAGAGGTGAAGTTGGAGGTAGGGGTGGAGAAAGGGCCTGGAGGAAAGAAAGAACTGAACATAATCATTACTCCTTGTGGCTGGAATGTGAGGAGGAGTGTAGTGAGAGGGGACACTCGGGAGGACATCCAAGGTCATCTTTTGGATTTTGAGACTTTGTGAGAAGCCTTGGAAGGATTTTGAGCTGAGGAAAGACATGATCAATTGTATTTTGGAAGGACCACTCTAGAGTAGGGAGGGAGGAAGGGAGGGAAGCAAGACAGGAGGCAGGGAGACCAGGCAAGAGGCTACTTCAGTAGTTTAAGGAGACAGGTGATGGTGCTTCAAACTGAGGGGATGAAAATGAGGGTACAGAGAAATGAGTAGGTTCAAGTGACAATTGGGAAGTAAACTCAACAAGACTAGACTTTCAAGAGAGAAGTTAAGGGTGATTGCCACTTTCTTGCTTGGGCACTGGGTGGATGGTACAGCACTGATCTAATGATCAGCAGAGAAGAAGCAGATTTGGGACAGAGATCGTGAGTTCAGTGTGGGAAATGCTGAGTTTGAGGTGTCCATGTGACATCTGCAGAGTTGTTAACGAGATATCCAGAGGTCAGTGTCTGGGGCTTATGGGACCAAAGAGAGATTTGGGAGCAATCAGCCTATATGGTGGGAGAGAGAAACATGGAAGTGGATGAGGTACTCCCGGGGAGCAGGTAGAGTTAAAAGGAAAGATAATGTAGTAAGTAAAGGCAGGCTCTTTCTGCCCTTCAAGGTGACCATGCATTTTCATGGAGACCTTTTCTTTTGGAGATAATGACTCAGGCCAAAGGAGTGACTCTTAGGGCATGTATTTTAGGTGCCTTGGCCAGGCTGATCAGGGAGGGGAGGAGAGGAGATGCTTAGATCAAAGATTGGTGGGTGGATGGCTTGAATAACAGATGGATGGATGGATGGATGAACAGAAGGATGGATGGATGGATGGATGGACGGATGGGTGGGTAGGTGGGTGAACGGATAGATAAAAGGAAGAGAGGTAAAACAGTTGTTAGACATCAGGCATTCTGATTGCCACCTGACTCCCAAGCCACTTTAAGTTCCATTTTTCAACATTTTTATGTTAACATGGCTTGGGAGCCAGGTGGCAATCAGAATTCCTAATATCCAAGAGCTGTTCTTCCTTTCTTCTTCTTTTCTCTTTCTTCCTTCCTTCTTTCCTTTCTTCCCTCTCTCCCACCCTTACCTACATACGTACATACATACATATGTGCATACATCTACCTATTTTTCAATTCACCCACCCACCTACCCATCTTCGATCCATTCTTCCATCTATTAATCCATCCATTTACCCTTCCGTCAATCCAACAAATATGTATTGAGCACCTGCAATGCCCTCAGTCCAACCCCTCCCTGCATGGTGACATTTCCACTGAGTTTAAGAGGCACTGACCCAGGGTTAAGCTCACTCTCTGCTTTTCCTTCTGTGAGCTTCACAGTAGCCAAGGCTTTACCATAGCTTTAAGGTACCTGTCATTTTTCAGCAATGGGCTTCAGGATCAGAGAGCTAGGCTTGAGCTGGGCCAGGTGAAGTTGTTTTAATGATAATAGAGAGTTCATTTGGAGCAGCAATGATTCAAACATGAGTTAAGTGCTGAAGAAGGCTTGACTCCCACTGATTTTCCTTTAACATTAATTCTTCAAGATGCCCCAGTTTCATAAAATAATGTGAATGGAATTAAACCTGAACAGCGCAAAACTGAGTAATTAATTATGTCCTGATTCAATTACAGTTACTAATTAATGGAACCTGATGCCTGAGGCAGTCACTTAGACAATGGCAGGTGGAGTCTGGGCCCCAGGGGCCTCCTGGTTTAAGGCTTGCCAGATAGTCTGGACAGACTCTCACCCACCTTAAAATCTCAGGTTTAGAAGCAAGGATGGTAAGACTTCTCACGTACTTTGGACATGTTATCGGGAGGGACCAGTCCCTGGAGAAGGACATCATGCTTGGTAAAGTAGAGGGTCACCGAAAAAGAGGAAGACCCTCAACAAGATGGATTGACAGTGGCAACAACAATGGGCTCACACATACCAATGATTGAGAGGATGGCGCAGGACCGGGCAGTGTTTTGTTTTGTTGTACATGGGGTCTCTGTGAGGAGGAACTGACGTGATGGCACCTAACCACAACAACAGCATCCCCTGGGGTGAGTTGGGCCGCCGCAGTGCCAGAGAGGGAGTTGGTGGCCCTGGCTGCTCAGCTAAGGGGACCTCACTTATTCCTCAGCAGCAGTCACTTGTTAGCTCAGTGGTTCTCACTCCTGGTTCATATTAGCATCACCTGGGGAGCTTTCAAGACAATTTAGTGCCCACCCCAGCCCAGGCCAATGAATGGGAATTCTGGGGATGCGGCTCAGGCATGGTCTATTTTAAAAGCTCCCCAGGTGATTCTAGTGGGGGGAGGGGGTGGAACCACTAGGCTTAGCCCATGGCTCAGGAGCTGGCCAGGCGGGGAGGCTTCTTACCTGCCACTCTGTGCTATCTAAACCAGTTGCTGTTGAGTCTACCCTGACCCATGGCAAGTCCGACTCATGGTGACCCCAACTAATGGTGACTCCAACTCATGGCGACCCCGTGTGTGTCAGAGTAGAACTATTCTCCATAGGGTTTTCAATGGCTGAGTTTTTGGAAGTAGATTACCAGGACTTTCTTCTGGGACGCTTCTGGGTGGACTCAAACCACCAACCTTTCAGCTAGCAACCCAGCACTCGTTAAGTGTTCGCACCACCCAAGGACTCCCTCTGCTACCTACAAGGTGCTAATCTAAACAGTGTTGTCAGCTCCCACCTGGGTCTTCCTTGAACTCCAAAATGAGTGAATCATTGCAAGGCTGGTGGATGTATTCCTGAACCGGAAGGGGAGGTGGGTGCCATGTTAGCAGACTCCCCAGGCCTCTGTTGGCTGAGCACCCCCTTTCCCCCTGCCTCTACCCAGGCCTCTCTCTTGTGGTCGGCCTGGTGCTCTACATCTCCAGCATCAATGATGAGATGCTCAACAGGACCAAGGACTCAGAGACCTATTTCAACTACAAATACGGATGGTCGTTTGCCTTCGCTGCCATCTCCTTCCTTTTAACGGAGGTAAGGCCCTTCCAGTTGTGCTGGAACAGGCTGGGTGGGGGCTGGGCACTGTGCAGTCCTAGTAGAGGGGGGAAGACATTAGACATGAGTCCTGCACTCAAGATCTACTTCTGTCGTTCATCCCCAGAAGCTGTCGCTCTTTCCCCGTCCTCTGTCTCTCCCCCTGGGGGTCCCCAGGGCTCCCTGCTCCCATACACTGCCCATGCCACTGCAGCCCTGGGATAGTGTGCAGACCTGACCACCTGGGGAAGCAAGGCCAGGCCTCAGCAGTGAGTGAGCTCACCTCTGCTTTCTCCTCACTGCAGAGTGCTGGGGTGATGTCTGTGTACCTGTTCATGAAGCGGTACACCGCTGAGGACATGTACAGGCCTCACCCTGGCTTCTACCGCCCGCGTCTGAGCAACTGCTCTGATTACTCGGGCCAGTTCCTACACCCGGATGCCTGGGTCCGGGGCCGCAGCCCCTCTGACATCTCCAGCGACGCTTCCCTGCAGATGAACAGCAACTACCCAGCCTTGCTCAAGTGCCCCGACTATGACCAGATGTCATCTTCCCCCTGCTGAACCTTGGCTGCCTCCCTCCCTGGACTGTGGACAGTCGGACAGCCCCTCCAGTGCTCCCCCTGCCTGGCCCGTGAGCCCAGGCCTGTGGTTGACAGGCCCAGGCCATCCCATGCTTAACTCTTGTTGCTTGACCCATGTCTTCTCCCTGCTTCCCCCAGAGTAGCTATAACCTCCGCCAGGGTCGGGGTCTGGAGTCTGGGGCCAGCGGGCAAGCTGGCTGAGAGTGTGGGTGTAGCCCAGCCCCGTGGGTGCCAATCAGAGCCTTGGCCCTGGAAGCCAGTAGCTCTCTCGTGCCCTGAGAAGCCAGTGTCCCAGTTGTATATTCCTCCCTGCACACTCAGCTTCACGGCCAAGCCCAACTCTGAGATGCCAAGTCCCTTCCATGGACCCAGCTGGACCTGTGAGCTTGCCAACTGGCCTGACCCCCTCTTTCGTGACCTGGGCCATTGGGCTAAAAGGTGACTCTGATATAGAGGTCTGGCTGGTTCCAAACCGTCTAGTAGGAAGTGTTCCTTGTGAAACCCTTTGTCCTTCTGCATCACCCAATCCCTCCATACAACACACACATCTGCACCCTCAACCTCGCAGCCCACAGCTGCACAGGCTGCATCGTCCATCAGCCTCAATGAGCTGTCCTTCTCTCCCCCTCCCATCTGAACTCAGCTGTCCTGGGCCCTGTCCCTCAGGGCCTAAGGGTGGGTGTGAAGGCACTCTGAAGTCGCAAAGAGGTGTTAATGGCTGATGAAGTCTTAATATGCATGGCCCCCTTGGTAACGTATTTAATGGGGGGTCTTTAATGCCTTAACCCAAAGAAGTGACTCCGATCATGAGAATTTCAGAATCTGGCTGGTCTGAGATAATACCACCGGACACTGTTTTCAGCCCTGGGGAAACTGCCGCTGCTCTCATGGAGCTTACCAGGGCGATATTTCCCACCCAACACCCTAAAATCTAATCATGCAGACAGATGTCTCTGTCACCTAAGTAAAAGCCAGCTTTAGGAAGAGGCTGCCTGGAGTTTGGAGCTGGATTTGGGATACCTGGTGCATTCTGAGCCTAAACAAGCCAGACTCGGAACGATCCAACATCTCTCCCAAGGATGCTGTCAACATTTGGGGGTCAGTTCAATCCTGATATGCTTCCTGAATATGGGACCAAACCTGTGGCTGACAAGTCATTTCCAACTCATGATGACCCCTTGTATGCCAGAGTAGAACTGAGCTCCATAGGGTTTTCTTGACTGTAATCTTTATGGAAGCAGATCACCAGGGCTTTTTTCCATGGTACCACTGAGTGGGTTTGAACTGTCAACCTTTAGGTTAGTACAAAAACCAAACCTGTTGCCATCGAGTCAATTCCAACTCACAGTGACCCTATAGGAGAGAGTAGAACTGCCCCATAGGGTTTCCAAGGCTGTAAATCTTTATGGCGGCAGACTGCCACACCTTTCTCCCAAAGAGCAGCTGGTGGGTTCGAACCGCTGACCTTTTGGTTAGCAGCAGAGCGTTCAACCACTGCACCACTACGGCTCCGTTAGGTTAATAGTCTAGTGCAAACCATTTGTACCATGCAGGAACCTGAGTATGGGACACAGGGAGACAAACCAGATGCCTTCGGAGGTCTGGGCAGCATGATGCCTGCTTTCCTGGCAGGAAACCTGAGTTGAGGAAGGAAGAACCGTCTGTGAAATCCAGGGTAGGAAAATGGGGGAGGTGCCTCCTCCAAGGTGTACCCCCGCCTCCCCATTTCTCCTGGTTGTACATTTTGAGTTTTTAGTAGCAAAACAACGCCGTGCTCTCTTTGCTGTGGACTTTTGCTGCGGCAGCTTTTGTGTCTTTTCTTGTGCTCTCTCAAAGATACCATTAGGCTCTTGGTGTACAAAGCACAATGGGCAAAAGTGCACCCTGGAAATTAGTGCAGAAAACGGCACCTTTGGAAGGGGGGTGGCTTCATAGCTGGGTTACTCCATTTGTCTCACAGCCTGGTAGAGGAAAGGGAGATAAGAGAAGGCAATTCCAGAGTACTAACTCGCCGTGTTTCCTTGGGCGAGCCCTTTGTCCTCTGAGGGACTTGGCCTAAATTATTTCCAAGCCCACACCCCACACCCTCACAGCCCCCACACCCGACTCTAAAGAGCCAGTCTCGCGTAGAAAGCTCCAGATTGCTCTCGTCTGTGACTGTTCTACCCTTGCCTATAAACCGATGTTGTTAACTGCCATTGAACCAGCCCCCGCTCATGGCGACCCCATGCACAACAGAAAAAAACATTGCCTGCTCCTGCCGCATCCCCATAATCAGTTACAGATTGGACTGTTGTGATCCATAGGATTTTTCTGGCTGATTTTTGGAAGTCGATCGCCAGGCCTTCCTTCCTAGTCTGTCTTAGTCTGGAAGCTCCACTGAATCCTGTGCAGCATCATAGCAACACACAAGATTCTACTGACAGACGGGTGGTGGCTGTACATGAGGTGCATTGGCTGGGAATTAAACCAGGATCTCCTGCACAGAAGGTGAGACTTCTACCCGAGCCACCTCTGCCCCCTATAAATGGATAGCGAGTGTAAAACCCCAGCTTCCACATCCTGGTGCCCTTGGAACAACTCTTACACTCTTTATTACTGCTTACAGAATAATATTGAAACCACATTCTCCCCGAAACACAGGAATCGAACACCAAGCCGGTTAGTGTACTTGGAGACCATTTTGTAGCATTTCCAAACTGGCCAGCTTTAGGTGTGCTTTACTCCAATTTTTGTCAATGTAATTAGCTGACGCGCACTCCTCTGTCTCTGAAGCACTCTTTCTCTGTCGCTGTGCCAGGCTTGTTTTTGTGCACACGGACAAATAGAAACCACTCTTAATACAAGCTGATCATTGACTGTGCCATCATTAGGACGGGACTTTACCTGCCTGGATGCGGAGCTGCTAAAAGTGGCAGCTCTTACCCGGGAACGTACAATTTGCACTTAGGAACAGGTTGTGGTTAATTGCCCTGACTCACTCTGAATGGGCAAAAGAATCAATAATTGTGCAAACATTACAGTTTCCTTTCAGTCTGTAAGTTAATCTCAGAACTATTTGCAGGGTCTCCATGATCAAAAGATTTTTATCAAACATTGAAGTGTATCAACTCAGTTCAGAAATCATAAATTAGGACCCTTTTCCCAATACTGTCTGATCTTTTGTTTCCTCAAGCATTTAAAAAAATAATTTGATGGGTTTTTATTTTTCACCCTCAAAGATGAGAGGGGGAACTAATAAAGCAAAGTCTTGGGAATAGTGGAATGAAACCACTCGGGGTTACCAGCCTCTAGGAGAGGACAATTCTGACCTTGATTCTCTCCCACCAGGAACCCACCACTCTCCTTTCTTCCCCATGGCTGAGTCAGTGACACTGCCTCATCTGCCACCAACACCACCAAACGGCCTTCAAAGGACTAGCCTGTTATCTGAGCTGGGCAAGGGATTGAGGGGTAGAAGAGTCAGGGCAAATCTGGCTTAGCAATGATGCTCCCAGAAGACCATGCGTGGGAGGAGCCCCCTCCTTAATGTTTGAGCAACTCTCCCGTCTAACTAAATAAAAGCATCTAGAGGGTGGACAAGGGCAGGGAAAACAATTCCACCTTGAAAAAACAGTTGCCATCAAGCTGATTCCAACTTATGGTGAGTTTCAAACCTGTGACCTTTTGGAAGCAGATTGCCAGGCCTTTCTTCCACGGCACCTCTGGTGGGTTCAAACCACCAACCTTTTAGTTAGTAGTGGAGAGCTTAACTGTTTGCACCACCCAAAGACTCCTTGCACCACCCCAGGACTCCTTCAGAGCTGAGCAAACATAGTTGTGCCCCCAGCATGGGGAGGGAGATGCAGATCCACACACAAGCCTCTATGCGCCTCCTTCACAGGCTGCCCACTTAGCGGAGATCACTTGCCCTCTGTCAGAGCCTGTGTGCAATTCCCATGAGCCTTGACTTTAATCCCAACTCAGTGAACGTGATCTCACATGCAAATATTTCACTCTGGCAATTAATAGCCTTTGGAACACAAACGCTCCACGTGGTGAGTAGGTGGAGAAGTGGATGAATGAGTGGATTCTGACAAATGCACTTGTGCACAGGTCAGACAGGTGGGGGCTCAGCAGCGGTGTGTCTGTTGCTTCATGTCACTTGGGAGAAGCCAGCCTCAGTGGCCGCCACCTGCAGGGCCAGCCTTCCCCGTGAGGAGAGAGGTGGTGCTGGGCCCCAGCCAGGCCAGAGTCGGCGCCACCCTGGGCTGTACCCACAAGAGGCAGCTGCTCTTGCTGTCTGTGTTCCAGGCGTTCAGATGAGTTGCAAATTGGGCAGGTGCCCCTCCAGGACCCACATCTCCCAGGATGGGTGCTGGAGGTCTCAAGTCCTTCCTTCCAGTGGAGCTAAGGTAACTGGATTTCCATGTATCCAGGTAAAACCTGCACCCGGGTCCTAGACCTTTCTCTGTGACCTTGGACAAATCACACCCTCCCCAGCCTGCCTCGGCTCCCCATGTGTAATGAGAGCCAGGATGCCCTGCCAGCTCCACAGGGCTAAGACTTTCTGCCCTGGGCAGCACTGCCCTTGGGTATTGCATACAGTGGGCCCCTGGCTGTGCTGGTTCCCCAGAGGCCCCACTGTTCAGAGGTCTGAGTTCTTATCACCCTCTGTATGTCAGGGTGCCCAGCAGCCCTCACGACCTTTTTTCATTCATTCAAGGAGGGAGTTGGATAAAATGGTCTCCAGGCTCCCAGTGCTAAAGCCAACCAAGCTCAAGTGGTGGACCCAGAGCACCTGCCAGGTGCACTCAGAATTTGGAATTTAGATAAGAGATCAGATACTTCGTGGGCCTGAGGAAGAACAAGATTTTGCATAATAGAGTGCAAATAGCAGCCAGCCCCTACCAGAGTAACGGGGGAGAGGGGAGTGAGGGGGCTAAAGGCAGAACCCCACTGCCCCATTCCTTTCTCCCACACAGGGGCAGGGAGGAAGGGGAGCCTCCAACCCAGCCTCTGCTCCCCTGGACAACATTATGGGGAATGAGGCCCTTGTTTAGCCAACTCCAGAGACAATGACCAGGTTCAAGAGCAAAACGCACCACTTTGATGCTAAACAAAGGGACCAGCCTCCTTGGCAGAAAGATACTTCTAGGACTGAAATATCCCCAAGGTGTGACAGTCTACTATTCCAAAAAACCCAACCAAACCCATTGCCATCGAGTTGATTCCGACTCACAG